AACAGTGCTTTAGATATAAGGTGCAGGGAGAGATATTGTTTTCCATGGTGTAATAGATATAAGGTGCAGGGAGAGATATTGTTTTCCATGGTGTAATAGATATAAGGTGCAGGGAGAGGGGCGTATTGTTTTCCGTGGTGTAAGAGATGTACGATAGGGGGATAGAGTTATTCTAAGGTGTAATAGATATAAGGGCGGATTAAGATGTAAGGTAGGGGGTTGTTGATAACAACAAGTTTTGTTAAAGCAACGTAAAGAAAGGTCGGAGTACAAGCTTATTTGCTGCAGTAATCAGATTGATTTTTAAATCTAAATTCATATTACTAAATATAAATAAATTAAATTTACTACAGTGGTTGGTGTTTAAAATAATATTATGAAGAAAACTTTTCTATTTAAGTTTTGATTGATTTATTTGTCCGTCGCACATATTCTTATCTACAAAAATAAAAAATACCAGAAATCTGAAACCCAGCTAGGACTTGCTTCCAGAGGCGTTTTCTTACATACATTCCAAGAGAATTTAGTGTAAATGCAAAGGAGTTGAAATATTGTCGGTTAAAGAAAAAATAATCAGGCTGGATTTTATTGTAGTGTTTTATTTAGGTTATATTTTTGCTTCCCATACTACAGTTAGACCCATAAAACTGTGGAGTATATAGGAGATATTTAAGACATCTTATTTGCATTTGATGTTGTTGAAAATAAAAAAAAATCAACCAGTGGGTTGCGAATCAGACTAGGTGAAGTGAAATGGGTCTGTAAATACTTCATGTTCATGTTCAATGGTCAATTCAAATACAAATGGAGGTCTAAAAATATGATTTAATTCCTCGCCTATCTTATAAAGATCAGAAAATAAATATTAAAAAATAGATAAAAATGGCCTCAAAGCAGCACGTTGAATAAAAGCAGGTGTTTTCTGTATTTTTCTTTTATTTATACATTTTTCAAATTTTGTATGACCCTGTATTTAAATGTGCGGAAATACGAAAAAGAATATTTTACACTACAACCGTACTCCTCACTTTATTAATAATTTAAATTAATAGTTTTTCATTGATATTTCCAATAGATTTTACCAAAACATCTGTGTCAACCGGATATAAAATTCTAGTTTTAATTAATTAGAGATTCCACCTTAAAGGTAACATTCAAACTTTTTTGTAATTTTTAACCTTAACAAGACGGTAGACTTTAGGCACATCTTAGTCTATAGAGTCGCCTGTCATATTTACTCCGGTACCATTAAACCATACACCGAGGCACATCTTAATCTATAGAGTTGCATGTCCTATTCACACAGGTACCCATTAAACCATTGTCCATACACCGAGGGTTACTTGAAATTACGTCTTCCATCCATTTATTCAGGGTTACTCGAATTCTTATACCAATATAATGAAGACGACTTTTGAAGTTTTAATTAATTATTATAATTGCTTTAATTGTTAATAAGCTTTTTCGAAGTACAAGTTTAAAAGATATTAAAGAGAAGGTTATTTTATTTCCACGTGTTTGTCTATCCATGCTGTTTAGAAGCATAATAAAATCAAAATTTAAATCTAAAGTCGTCTTCATTATATTGCTATAATTTTGTCTACCACCGGACCGCACTTGTGCAACAAGGGCGGGTTTCTTTATTAAATATAAAATATAATAAATATTTAAAAATGACATTTGTTCCAAAATTAATATAAAAATCAAAAATAATTTATTTATACTTGTTCTTCTTATCATAAAAGACAAAATATGATAGATAAATCGATAAAAAAAACAACTGGAAGACGACATGTAAAACTCTTAGGATTTGTTTTGGTTTTCTGCTTTTAATAGCATAAATGTTTTTTTGCAATGAAATAAATCAGTTAAATGTCTAAAAGTTGCCGATTTGAATGGGGATTCACAATTTCAAGGATCTGCTGATATTTTTATTACACTCATCTTTCAAGCAAACTAAAAAAGAGAGATTCAAAACATCATGTTTAAGTTAAAACTTGTAATACGAAAAAAGCTTGTTAACAACTAAAAATGAAGCAAAAAAGCCGTTTTCATAATATTGATATAATCGCCTACCACCGTTGTATAATCTCTGTTTGTTTGTATGTTCGATCATAACTCAAGAACCCCTTGGCTGATTTGCCTCACATTATTCAAATCCTCTAAAAACCGGTTTCAATTGAGCGCCGGCTTAAATCTTAAAAAATTTAATACAATTTGAGCCGTGGCTTAAATTTAAACCGCGGCTCAAATTCTATAAATTCGGCCTCTGGTGTACCTACGGAAATGGTTTTAGGTTGGTTTAAAATTCTAAATTGAAGTAATAGAATTTTATAGAGAAAGTTTAGTTTTTAGACAAAGCTGGGTTTCCAAGCTATAGTTCTTTTAATAAAGTATTGAATTTGCAGGAAACCTGACTCCTCCCTTTTAGCCAACAATAGTATTAATGAGCTTTCTTCTGTAAACAACAGTCGAGACAGAAATTACAGAAATTGTATGAGTTAGGTGTACATTGTACAACAATAAATTTCCCATAATTTACATTTGTCAAATTTCTAATACAAATTTCTGATACAGGTTACAATAGGATTATACTTCAGAGAGGACTGTTCGGAATTCATTCCGCCTGTTTTCTTATGCCTATGATTCCCTGCAACAATAAACTGTTTGTTTTTCTTTGCAAATCATTATGTAGGCAAATTAAAGATAATAATCAAAAAAGCAGACATAAAGTAAACTTTTAATCGTTTCAAGTCGTCTTTACAGTCTTATCCTTTGTGGGTATCTTAAACGCTTTTGCACTTGAAATTCCATCTTTAATAAAATTATCCTTTTTTAACTACTGTTGAATACAAATACACACACTAGATGTTCTAGTGCAAATTCAAGAGTAATTCAAGCAGCACATTCTCAGCGAACATTACACATACTTTAATAAAATGTCGTCTTCAAAATTATATTTATGAAGTAATCAAGTCAATTGTCAGACATACAAATTTATTGGAAAAAACAGTGCTTATGTTGTGGTATACAATTTTGTACTGTTAACACTTATTAAGTTGATTATGCAGTAAATAATCTGAATATTATGATTGATTGATTAATTAATGGATTAATGAATTGATTGATTGAATGATTGATTGATAGATTTTGAATACAGCTTAACATATCTTTATGAATGATTGATGAATTGATTGATTGAATTATTGATTGTTAGATGTTGAATCCAGCTTACTCGCATATCTTTATGAATGATTGATGAATTGATTGATTGAATGATTGATTGATAGATCTTGAATCCAGCTTACTCGCATATCTATATGAATGATTGATTGTTTGATTGCATGATTGATTTGATGATTAATTGATGGATTGATCTAGAACCCAGCTTCTTCGCATATTTTCTTAATTGCCTCGAAATTATTGAACCCGAACCCGGCCTGAGTCTCGTCACACCAGTAGGGCTTCTCATCCTGCCGCCGGACCCTATTATACAACTTTTTCAAAGAGAAAATCATAGATATCTCAATTTTTTATAAGAAAAAAAGCTTTAAGGATACCTTTCTGAATTTAAGTTTAAAAAGATTAAGATTTCACACGATTTTTGTGTTTACGTTTTCTTTATAAATTGAATTCAAATATCAAATCAATTTGTTAAAAGCCACCCACGATTTTTTTTCTATGTTTCTTAAAACTCCAACTCAACATATGTTGTATGCAAAGTAAAAAGAAATAATTTTCGTTTAAAAAATGTATTGTACATAAATGGTATTGGTACAAGTACATTTACCTGAAAGATGCGGCCATAAGAGTACAACAAATGTACGCTAGTACAAGGAAGAAAACATTTACACAAGCCTGTAGAGAATACCTGCACACAATATTAATTATAAAGTTTCCAATTGTAATAATTTTTTAGTTTTTTCAATTTTTAATTTATCAACAAAAGATTTGTTTAATGGTAAAACTAAAGGAACTGAACAATCGGTTTAAACTTTTTATGTCCAATTCTTATATCTTTACAACATGATGTCTTAGATCAAAATGTTTAAGTTTAAAATTACCAAAAGGTTGCAAAGATAAAAGAATTAGAAAAAAAAAAGTTTGATTTTCGAGGTCCTAGATTGTAAATAAAAACCTACATGTTTTTTGTGTGAGTTTAGAGAAGATACTGATTACTCCAGGATCCTTCTATCCAAGTATTTATACTCAAGAGCGCACCCATTTTCTAACTCTACAGGGTGTCCCAATAAACATGGGAAATGACTGAAAATTTCAAGATCATCTTTGTTCAATGATAATTGTACGTGCAAACTAAAAAAGAAAATTTGCAGAAATGTAACAGACCAAGAACAGTTTGTAGAAATGTTACAAACCCAGAACAATTTTCAGAAAAGTTAAAAGCCAAGAATAGTTTGCAGAAATGAAACAAACCAAGATAACAGTTTGCAGAAATGTTAGAAACCAAGTACAGATTGCACAAATGTTACAAAACAAGAATAGTTTGCATAAATATTACAAACCAGAACGGTTTGCAAAAATGTTACAAACCAAGAACAGTTTGCAGAAATGTTACAAACCAAGAACAGTGTACAGAAATGTTTCAAACCAAGAGCAGTGTACAGAAATGTTTCAAACCAAGAACAGTTTGCTGAAATGTTACAAACCAAGAGTAGTTTGAAGAAATATTACAAACCAAGAACAGTCTACAGAAATATTACAAATACATCATACTATGTGTGCAAAACAACTTTTCACATAAAATTTGCACTAGCGCTAACAGTGCAAACTACTTTTGAAATTATAGTTATTACAATTTTTATTTTTCAAAAAGAATATTTTGAAGTCGTAATTGTATGCCCATGTTTATTGGTATACCAGCTGTACAGTGTATACAGTAAACAGCGCAACAGTGTTATAGTTTATTTTAACAATACATATCTTCTATACTATAGAATAGATTGTATATAGTTTATTTTAACAATACATATCTTCTATATTATAGAATAGATTGTATAGTTTATTTTAACAATACATATCTTCTATATTATAGAATAGATTGTATAGTTTATTTTAACAATAACATATCTTCTATATTATAGAATAGATTGTAACGTTTATTTTAACAATACATATCTGCTATATTATAGAATAGATTGTATAGTTTATTTTAACAATACATATCTTCTATATTATAAAATAGATTGTATAGTTTATTTTAACAATACATATCTGCTATATTATAGAATAGATTGTATAGTTTATTTTAACAATACATATCTGCTATATTATAGATTAGATTGAATATTTGCTTAAAGGGAAGGTCGACCTAATCAATATTCAATAAATATATACCTAATTCACAACATTTATTTCATTATGTAGCAAGCAGGAACATACCACATAATTTTCACTAGTAGGGGATCATTCATTTGGCCTACCGTCCCGTTTTGCCTTAAATAGTCTGTATTTGTACTGCAGAGCATACTCTAGCTGATTAAAAGTCGCCCCTGTACTTGCGAGTTACCATTAATACCGTCGTTCTAATCTTGGAAAAAGATTTTATTGATAAATATTCACTCTTGTTATGAATTTATATCTGAACACGTACATTTATAAATGAAAGGTCACGTGAATTTACGTTGAATTATAAATACTTAGCTTTTAGGGCTCTTCGCGCCCATCTTCTATTTCAATAGTAAACATGTTCTCTTTGTGTATATTGTAAAACAAAACAAACAATAAAGTTCTCGGATTTCATAAAAAAATCGTGGATTTTAAAAATTTTCAAAAATCGAATTTTGTTAGAAGCAAATTTTTGAAAATTCGATCATCCATGAATCTTCTCTAGCCCGGGTCACGCGAGATCCCACAAAAATTTGGGCCCGATCAGTTCAGTCGTTTTGACGATTATTGGGTACAAACAGACAGACAAGCTAAGTAGATTAATGCAATATTCACAATTTTTGACATGATAACCCAATTATATCTGATCTTTTAAATATGTATAGATTATAAAATGAGTTTAAAAAGTTCCAAATCAAGATACGCGCTAGACAAGGGGCAAGAACTCCCTGATTGTCTATCTCCGTATAATCTGTGTATTATGAAATCAAAATCACCTTTTTGACCCCGGGCACTCCTTAAACCCTCTAACCAAACCTATCTGTCGGTGAAACCATGAAGACAAAAATAGTCTTTGCTCATCAAAATCCATTAAATTTATTTTAAACTTTTTATCTACATGGATAACCAGAAGACTCTGAAATAGGAAGACGACTTTTTAGGAATATTTGATGTTGTTACTAAGAAAATTGTTTTACTTGAAACTTATTAAATCACTAGGTAAGTAAAATGGGTCTGTTTACACTGCACAATTACTGTGTCCCATGCATTTATTAGACTTTAATAAGTCAAAACTAAAAGTCGACTTCCTATTTCAGAGTTTTCTGGTTCTCACTATGCTTTACAGAGGGACCCAGACAATATACGATGATAGGGCCGGGCCGGTACGAATATAGTGGAGCATTCCCAACCTTTGAGTTTTCCTTATTATACCCATGAAATAAATATTAAATTTCCTAGTTTTACAATAAAATCAATATTTCATGCATATTCATGCATAATGGATATATCCTTTATTAAAAAACTTTTTTCCATCGATTATTAATTATTGCGAAATATTAACAGTCCACAATTGGAAATATCAAGAAACCGTCTCAACTTTCTATTAAACATGACATTCATATATATGTTCCCTCTGGCCGGTCAAACGGCTGGAGCGAATGGGCTGATTTTTTTTGTGGACAAGCAAATTTTTTAAAAATTTTTTTTCGTCGTCCAACGCCGGGCCCTTCAGCTTGCATATAATAAACAAGTAACTATCCCTCCCTTTTTTCCTCCCTCCCAAAAAAAAAACATAAACAAAATAAAAATGACACATTACAGAACAGTGTATTGTTATGAGAAATTGCAAACAAAATGTTATGAGGGACATATAAATTTGTGAGATCCCTTAAATAAATGCAGTACTCTTAAAACTTCGTCCCAATACTGTATTGGTCCAGGTACTATGTCTGCTATCAAAGTCAATCAGGATACAACCCACCTGGCTCTAAATGCCACATTGGGACATACAAGTAGATATCAATCAAACAAGCTATAACTCAGGCTCTAAATGCCACACAGGGACAAAAACATAGCTTTCTATAAAACAAGCTATTGGATATTAAACAAGCCTTTAATTGATCCTTTCTTTATCTGATTGAGATCTCATCCCGAATACTCAACGAGGGTTATAATTACTCTACATTGAAATCAAAGGGAGTTCTGATTCTAACTGATCTCTATTTACAAATCTATATGTTACATGATAAGTTCCAATACGTATTCACAATATTAATCAGGTATATAATCTAATCACAATATGTATCTAGTCTATTCGCATTACAAGTTTTACATAGTAAACAAATAAAGCAGTTAGATCCTGAGACAATGTACACCGCATTTTATATAGATATGTAAAAACAGCATGCAACGTTTGGGTTAATCCAATTCATCCAAATCGTCCTCGGGGTCTTTGTACAATATGAATCTCTTTGACTTCTTTTAATGCCTTCTCGATGTCTCCACTTTACCACAATATTTTGTTGGTCTCCTTGTAGTTTCTGTGCTGCAGGAGCTGTTGATGTGTCCATGTTGAGTTGAGTGTTGACCGTTCCATTTCGTCCTTGCTAGCTGGATATCTACGTCATCGTCTTCTATATAGATGGGAGGGATTGTTTCCACTTCTCCTGATACAACTACTTCTGTAGTTCCACTATTGCTTTCTGAAGGATTAATTTCACTTCTGTCTTCATTTTTCCCGTATTATCCTCCTAATATGATGATATTCCAGTTCTTGACATAACTACAGCTGTTGGATGACTTGTATACATCCCTTGGGTTTTTCAGCAAACTTGGAACTTTGATCATCTCATCGGTTTCTGGGATTTCAGGATGAGGTGGATCACATCACTACAATCTCCTCAAAATTCTTACAAGTCTAGGTTTTCCCTTTTCATATACTTCTATTTGCTTCAGCTAATGCAGGAGAGAGTTTCTTACTTATCTTGTAAGGTTCTCAACTTAAATCACAGCTTCCAGGTATAATTCTGGAATCAAAAACCCTGACCCACCACCAACTTCAAACTTTTTGTATTGAGCATTTCGACAGACCATAGTTTGATGTTTCTCTCATAAGCTTCTTGGAACCTGTCTTGCACAACGTTTCCATAGAGTACTATATAAACTCAACCAGGATTTATTCCCGGAAAATCTAGAATTTTCTTTTTCCAACGTTGTTGGCAAAAAATAGAGTGTCTGTATTTTCTGCCACGTCTTGAAAGTAAATATCAATATATTCCAGAAATAATAAACAGCTTGTAAACACAGTGTTCATTAATTCCAATAGTTTTTGTAGAGAAATATTCGATTTATCAGTCACAGGTTTAAAGAGTACCACTGTACAGTACAAAGCTTGTAAACTTGGCATTGTCATCTTTGCGCGTAGAAGCGTAGGGGTGGACGTTTACAAATTTTTAAAAAACGATAGTTCCGTTTTAAAAACGACGAAGAAAAAACGAAAAACGAATTGATCGTTTTTAAAAAGTTTCACGAAAGTAAGTCGTTCTTAATTTTTGACGATCGGTAACGCTTTTGAAGACAAAATTAATTTTTTTGGACGGTAAATCCTTAGATCGGAAAATCCAACAAAAATCGATAAAACAAAAACCATTTAAAAGACAACATTCATAAACTTATCTTACTAACAAAATTTAAATTAATTATCATAAAATTTAGATTCAATAGCGAAAGTTTTTTCTCACAAAAATGATCGTTTAAGAAAAAAACTATTTAAAAAAAAAAATAATAACAATTGGGTTGCTTTAAAAACTATCGTTATTTCGATTAGTTTAAAAACGATGATCAACCCTGCTTGCAGGGTCTCCTGAAATAACGCTTACTGTCTCTTTAAATATAAAATATTGAATTAAAAACTCAATTACTTTCTTTGAGTTGTATTTTATATACTCTATACTCAATTTAGTTCAGTGACAGAGAAACCGTCGGTTCAGCTGCATAATTAAAGGTATTTATATGTAGTACATACGAGGCCATTAGATCTGCAAAAATAATGCTAGCAACTATACAACATACATTATTTTCATACTTTTATCTTTGGCCAATCCGGAAGGCACTCTAAGAATAAACACTTCAATCAAACTAATATTTTTTAAGAACAATAGTTTTGCAATCTGACGATTTAAACCATCGAACTTTCAAACTAGATCTAGAAAGAGGCATAATGTGTATTATCACAGGACAGGACATCAGGTTGTACAGATTTAAGGATTGGACAAGTGTTCAGTTCATTTCAATTTTTGTCACAAAAAATTTAAGAGACGATTATTCAGTTTTGACAGTATTTGAAAGATATATATTTATATCATCTTAAGATGACAAAGTAAGTGTATAATTTATATTGTAGAACAGGCTATAAGCTCTCAAAGTATTTAATTTTAAAAAATATGTTGCAATCTCATCGAAAAGTGTATTAACCTCGATTATTCTAAATGCATAAAAAAAGACAGAGCACATTTTGGAATTGATCAGTAATAAATGTTCGAAAAAATACGTGCCGCAATAGATTCCAAGAAAAGATATTTTATTTATTGGTATACAGGGTGTCCCAATAAACATGGGAATTAAGTGAAGATTTTGAGATAGTCTTTGCAAAGAATTTGTTTGTTTATGTTTTGATTGTATGCATCAAAAAAGACCTCTTAATGAGTAATTGGTACTTGGTTTTAAACAAATCGTAAAGTCTGTTGAAAAATGTTAAAAATAATGATTTCAATTTGTAAATTAAACATTTGATGCAAGGTACTGCATTAATTTTTCAAGGGGTTTCAAATAAGTAAATGCTAGATCACTACAATGTTTAAGTCTAGGGCTATAAAAAAGTGTAAGTGAGTTAATGAGCTCCTGCTCACCAGATGAGTTAAACCAGAGCCCGCGATTTAAAAACTCGGGTAAATACGGCTCGGGCAAAGATAATATATATATAGATATGCAGGCAGGTTTAAGTTTAGAGGTCTTGAGAAAATGTGAAATCAGCACCATCTCTGTCGTACGCATGGCATTTTATCCTCTGGATTGTTGCTAATTTATCACTTTGTTTATGCGTGATAACACTAAATGCGTACTATAGTATCAACAATGTATACTGCATATTGTACTTAATGAAACAAATTAATCAATGCAAATAAAACTGAGGTAGGAATTTGACTAGACAAAGTTTAAATGTGCAAATTGTACTGAATGGCATACGTAAATTAACGCAATTTAAATAAAAATTATTACTATAAAAGTACATCGAATCTAGGACAAAGTACAACTGATCTGATCATAACATAAACAAAACGCGTACTGTATGTTTGTGTTACCTTGAAATTTAATTTTATTGGTCAAACATGTCCAGATAGCAACACTTGAACTATACAGGATGCAATACGCGTACTGTATGTTTATATAACACAAATGCGTATTTCCTACAGATAGCAGCAAGGGGAGAAAGGAATATAGATGTCTCTCTTTTCACATTTTCTCAGAGGTTCAAAAATTAGTTGTCTGCTACAAGCAATTTAGGAAGGAGGTTTCTACCTGCCTGCATATCTATATATATATTATCTTTGGGCTCGGGTCTAAGCTGTCGTTGGACCTTATTTACGGCTTGAGCTTTCGGATTCAAGTTGCATCTTAATTCCAACAGAGGCGAATTAAAAAAAACCGGTTTAATATTCTGTTCTGTGGATTTTCATGGTAGGAATTGGCGCATTCCCAGTTTTTATGAGAACAAGACGCAACATTGTGCCTTATATTCTCTACTAAAACCAACCAAGGTCGGTTTTATTTTCATTGGGCTTAACTCCTTAAGCCGAGCCGAAGATCTTGCAGCTGTCAATCACGTGACACAAGCTGTCGTCAGTGTTGAGTCTAAGATTGGGTCTAAAAGTTGGGTTTCAGGAATTACGACTCGAGCCGAAGTTTTTAAATCGCGGACTCAGGAGACCAATACATTGGACCCTTTTATAGTTGAGGCTATCTAAAAGTTTTGTAACTAACAATCAGTGACGTAGCTCTAATAATAAAAAATTATTATTTAATTATTATATTTTTGAACTTGATAAAATAAGGAAGTTTTAGTGCTCTAGTAATGTGGAGGTGGAATCCCCACCCCCACATTTCCCCCCACCGGGATACAATTTTTCAGTTTCTTCAGTTATTTAAAAGATTTAAAGAATTCTTTGAATTTGATTCGTTTTTCCTTTAAATATATTTTCGAGAGTGTTTCATTAGGAATCTTTTTTTTACCGATTTATATTGTAGGAATGTTTAATTTTAATTATGTACATCTGGCTGAATTCAAGTGTTTTTCAAAAATGTTCTTTTGATTCAGTGTACCTTTGTTAACTAGACCACCCTAAACTAAGAAGAGAGAGAAGCATTCGGTTTCTTTCATTTGAAATCAAACGTGTTTTCGTCTATAACTCAACAGTCTTTAGACTTACAGATTTGTTTATCTTATACTTTTTTATTTAAAATGTATATGCCAACAACAAAGAATTTAAGATAAATGGCTATAAAATTATGTAGAATGGGTTAAAGTGTGATTGAAAGTCACAGTTTTCTGAAAAATTGACAGAACCGTTAAATCCACGTGAGACAATTAAGTGTACTTTTGTAAATCGAACATTCCAATCATTAAATTGAGGTTTACTTTCTGACAACAATTCAGTTTTTTCAAACTTCTGTCTATATAATAAATCAAGACATTCATATGTTGTCTATAGCCAGCCAAACTGCTGGACCGATTGGGCTGAAATTCTTTCCGAACACTCATGGTTGGCCCGGGGGGGGGGGGGAGGGGTGTTATAAGCTAAAAAAATACAAAACATTCGTATGTATTTTGTCTTTTGCCGACCAAACGGCTGGACCGATTGGGATAAAATTCTTTGTGAACACTCATGGGTGGCTAGGGGAGGGGGTGGGGGGTGTTATAGGCTAAACAAATCAAATTTTTTTTTCATAATATTTTTTTCAAAATATTTTTTCAAATTTTTTTTCTCAGGCAACTTCAGCTAGTTTATAATAATTGATGATGCCGTTTTGTTCATTCTTATAATTGTCAAAATATCATTTGTGAACACTATCAAGTTTTAAAAATGTGTTCAAACATTTGAAATGTTTTCACAAATTATTGAAATAAGAAATCAAACACGAAATACAATTGTTTTACAAAAAATCTTATAAAAAGAACATATGACAACGGAATTAAGTATTTGTCACAAACTCTGATTTTCAATCGAAACCTTATATGTCTTAGACCTTAGATATTTTAAACTATAAATTCTGTACAGATATATTATATATATAAGAAGTATATGAGACAACGACTCTTTACTTTACTGATGATTAAACTATCACTGTTGCTATGATAAAGATTCATTTTCTCTAAATTGGGTTTCTAAAAATAGTTAAACCTTTTATAAAAATCGTATTCTAGAATGTTGTGTACACTTTTATTTAACCAAGTTCGTTTTACTTTCATGTACACTTCATTCCCTTTGTTAACGATTTAAAAAATTATTAATGAAATGTAGCCTAACTTGGCGAATCGAGGGTAACCTGAATAACGTGCATAGTCCCTGCAAAGTCAATTTATTTTCTCTGTTTGGGGTTATAAAAATATTTAAACCTTTTTTCAAGAATAATGTACTTTAATTTAACAATAAAGGTATATCTGACACAAGTGTCTTCCATAAATGTCTTATTGATATTTATAAGAAAACTAAATATATTTTCTGTGACTTGAACATTTAAAAAAATATTTAATTTCCAGACCTTGGTTCGGCTAGAATAAAATCAAGAAAATGGTCTTTTTATCTCAACGAAGCAAAAATCAGGTAACACGAAATTGATGAAAATGTTTATTGGCTTCAATATTTATATTCTTTGGTATTTGATAATTATTTAGATACAGGTAATTTACAGGGAAGTTAGAGAAAATTTTACTTTACCAAGGGTTTTTATTTTTAAGACCGATTTTTTAAGTAGTTGCAAAAATTTATCATATTTTGAGATGAAAATGCGCGAAAGTTTTCACGAACATTTTGGTTACTTTACTGAAATGTTCCAAGGTACGTAATGTAACTTAACGTTCCTCGTTGGTGAAGTCAATGGTCGGTAAGGTTGGTTAAAAGTCGGTAAAAGCTATAAATGCTTAACAACTCATGTGTTCTTATTCCATGAGATTTTATGTATGTTTTGGTGATTATTAACATTTTTGTCTTATAGTCCTTTTGTGTGTTATAAAACTTAAAATTTAAAAAGGTTGGAGTTGAGTCGCTCATGCATTAGAATAAACATATGCATAGTTTGTAATTGATTAATTTGTAATATCTTGCAAATATATAATTCTATATTTTGTTTTTTGATAGCTTGCATTTTTAATAGCTTGTTTGCTTGTTGTTATGTCTGCCCAATAAAGTTTGTGTTCAATCGTTTATATTTATATTCTTGTTTGTGTTACAGATTCAATGCATTGTTATTAACAGCTTGTAAACGTTTTACAGGATTTTTTAAGCCTAGATGTAAACTTCCATAGTTGCCATATATTTCTATTTGTTTTGTATAAAGGCAAAACAGTTGTAAATTACAAATTCCGTATCGACATTTTTTAAAAGAAAGAAAAAAGCAGCGAGAATCCACTGTTTTCCGGTTCTGACTAAATAATATTTGAAAGGTTCTGGCAGGCCTGCTTATTTTCGCCTCTATCTACCTCATTTCTCATCTTTCGTATACATGTAAGTATAGATTTAACAAATTCCGATTGCTCACATCAAACACTAATTTTCTAATCCGTACAACTTTGCAACCTGATGCTGTAGAACTTTGAGCTCAAAATATTCAATTTGTTTAATGTAGAAGTGTTTGAAATATCAAATGTTTAAACCATCAGATTGCAAAGATATAGTGGTTAGGACATTAGAAATATAAATATAATTTAAATATAATTTTAATAGTTTTAAAAATCTCAAAGGTTAAGTTTTCTACGTTTTCAAAGATAGGGATGAAAAACCACATTTATCTTTAAGAAAATATTATTCAGATATTGATGATGAGGTAATCTCCCCTGTGTTCAACAAACAACTTGTAGAAACTAGTGTTTTGGAGACTCTCAATAGTATTGAAATTACAGGAAATTAAATTATCCAACTCGAAAAAAACATTTTCAAAATGGCGGGGGTCGTAAATTCTATTGTTATGATTATTTTGAGAAGATTTTACGACTTTTGCAAACCATGAAAATGAAATATTTATTCAATGAGAAAAAAAGTGCTTAATCATTATTTTTAAGTTTTTCCCCTTTCCATAAATCATTTTAAAGTAAAGAGATAAGATGTTAAGAACACTATTAAAGGTTTTAATGCATCATTTACTCTCAGACAAATTAGAATCAATGGAAATTTAAATAGACCCGAGGGATTCAATGATAAACCCTAGGGCCACTCCTGTATGCCGAGTCCATTAGCGACTGATCCAATCAGGGTTCAGTCATGTGTTTGTTGTTTATTCTAAACCAATAGAAATAGTATGGCGGTAACATCTATCTTTCTATCTATCTCATTATTCAATTAGAGTTATGAATCCTTCAATCGGCGCTATCAGTAAATGGAAATATTTACTTCTACTGAAACTATAATGGGCGCAGCTCAAGGGTTTACCATTGAATCCCTCGGGGGTTTAAATTTCCATCGATTCTAATTTGTCTGAGAGTAAATGATATTCCTTTGTAAAAAATAACAAATTATTTTTATTGTTTTATTATTTATTATTTTTTAAAGGGTCGGGATTAAATAAAAATTATTGCATACCAAAAAACCAGCTTTTTATAAGGGAATGATAATTGTCTTTATAATTTTTTGTGTGGAGCGTGGGGTGGGGTGGGGGGGGGGGGGTATGTGAATTTAGAGGAGCTACGAGGTCACAAAGTTGTGCCAGTAATTTCGTATAATTGTTTTTTCTTTGAAAAAGTTTGGATAATTTATAATTTAGGAGATCAGTTGCCTAGGATAAAACCCTTTGCATGTGTCAGGAAACTAAATATTTAAAAGAATTTAAAACTTTTTTACTTTTTAGACTGTGTTTGCATAAGTCAGTAGCAATATATAAAGTTTTGATTGTTTTACCACCATTTCTGCACAGATTGGTGAACCCTTCTCATGCAGTGTATTAAAAAATTTGAAAAAAGGATTAGAATAAAAATTCAATAAATAACCGATTAACCATTATAAACAATATTCGTTTTTTAAAACTGTTGAAAAATCAGAAAAAATAATTTATTATGTTTTCAATCAAAAAAAAATATTCATGAGCTTAATTTTTAACCATAGAAGTTCTATGCTAAGTAAAATTAAAATTTTATTTTTCTGTCGAAAAAGTTTGGTTTGAATATCAGGAGTGGTCCCTTTACCTTTAAACAAGTAAAGTTTATCATGTGTGTTAAACCTTTCGAGGTGGACACGGTAAACATTTATAATATTTAATTTATTTATATAATTATAAATTATAAACTTTAAAGGGACTATACACGTAAATTCAAATAACCCGCATGTATAAAGTGAAATGCCTGATTCACAATAGTGCCCTTTTACCTTTTCATTCGTTGTTTCTCGCTTAAAATGCTGGGAAATGAAGAAAAATGCCAGAATTTAGCACGTTTTAAGAAAGAAAAACGTCGATATCTTCCTCATTTTTACTCAGGAATAAATGGTTCCGTTGTAAATCGGATATACCGCAATTTATAAATCGAGTGCCACAAAAAATTATGTTTACAGTTCCTTTAATTTAAAATTACTATATTAAATATTGATAACATTATTTTATTTCAGTACATTTCGAGGTCAATATACAACTCAGGTTAAATAAATTAAGTTAATTCAATAAAATTAAAAAGATTAAAGATTAATAATTTTTTAATAAGGTTTTTTGACAATTGAAAATCAGGAATTATTTATTTTTTATTATATTTTCTAAAGAAGCATCAGAATTTGAATTTTTTCTTTGAGTGTTTAGCAAGGGATGGATCGTTTCTACTATTTTGAAAAACTTTCTTTTTGAAAACGACGAAGAGAAAACAAAAACGAAACGATCGTTTTTAAAAATACCGCTTTTATAAATATCGTTTTTTTAAAAGGTCTTTTTTAAAAAGGATAGTTTTTCGTTTAAAAAAAAAATCTTTTTAAAAAACCCGATGGTTTTAAAACGATCGTTTTCAAAGACGATCCTTCCTTGACGACCGTTAAGGATGACCCTTCGTTAACGACCTTTTAAAGAGAAAATACATTTTTTGGTCGGAAAATCCAAGGTCAGAAAACATTCAGGTTATTATTTGAGACAACCTTCATAACTTTATATTTCTTTAACCAATTGAAATTAAATCTCGTAAAACTCGATCGTTTAACTAGACACTTATCAAATCACTACCAAGCTCATTGGACTTTAAAACTTGATTCTAAAAGTCGTCTTACTATTTCAGAGTTTTCTGGTTCTCACTGTAGATTAATAGTTCGTCCTTAAAAGTTAGTGATGATGTTATTGCAAACATGTGGTAAAAATAAATCAAAACTCGAATTAAACTTCTAGGATCCTGGGAGAAAGCAATGGTAGAATTAGTGTTAAACTTGCTGGCAAAATATCAGAATATTACTCTCTTAGGTAACTGTATTCACCTACCCTATCCCAACTCTATGGGAACAATTATCCCCAACATCAGTATCCTATTTTATAAAGCTTAAGTATATGGAAGGGAGATTTTTTGCCACAAACTCTGATTTGGTTTTCTAATATCTTTGCAACCAGATGTCGTAAACCTTTGATATTTCAAACTAAACATTCTGTTAGATCACTTAGTTTGAAATATCAAAATATGTACACATTATCAGATTGCAAAGATATAGGAATACGCCAATTCCAGTTTGTGGCAAAAACTCAATTCATTTACTTTAGTTTGCCGTGGAATAAGTAAAAATCCCGGGAAAACGCATATTATCCTGTACAAGGGGGTTGGATGTTTATATATATTTAAAATAATAAAATTATTACAGATGTTGGTTCTAATACCGGAATATATATTATCCTGTATAAGAATAAAAGGGGGTTGGATGTTTATATATATTTAAAATGATAAAAATATTTCAGATGTTGGTTCTAATATCGGCATGTTTACTGTGGCGGCCGCAGCAGCGAACTTCAAGTAACACTTTTTTTAAATATTTTTTCTCAAAAATGTTTAACTGAAATCCGATGCCAATTTATTAAAAATCTGTCCTAAATTCATTGTTTTCAAGCAATGAAAAACAAGAACATTTTTACATAAAAGATGTAATCTCTATTTGTTTATTTGTATGTCTGATCGTAACTCATGAACCCCTGGACCGATTTGCCTTAAAATTTGACTGGGAAACTCGGAAGAGCCACGGAGAAGTTTCACGGTAAAATCGACCAATTGCGGGTAAACGGCGAGAGTAACTGTGAGAAACCTAGGCGACGAATGATTCCCATGCAAGTTTCATATAAATTAAAGCATACAATTACATAATACATAATACATAAGAAAGAATCAGTTTAGTATTAATCTACGATAGCATCATTGTTTAAGTTTTAATCAAATTCGATTTAAAATATCTGTAAAATGGATTTGTATCAAATTACAGAAACATCTGTATATCAGGAAATGGTAGAGAGAATTTACTCCATCCTTTGTTAACGTTAGAATTTTGCTTTTTGAAAAATAATATAAATTTAGGGTTGTTGCAGTGGACCCGTTTAAAACCAATCTTGCTTATGCCAGGAAAGGGGACAAAATAAATAATATTTGTGATAATACAGTAAGAACCATAAAACAGGGGATAAATGTTGTCTTCCTTTTCTTAAAATATTGATTAAAGGATTATGATATTTTTTATATCGATAGCGACAGTTGCAAAGAAAAAAATCCTCGGCAATATTTTACAAGTAAAAGCAAGAACACATTTATTCCACAGGTTCCTGGATCTCACTGTATGCTAAGATGTAGCGATTTAGCTTTTTAAATTTTTAAAATTTAATTTAATTTGTCCTTTAAAGACTTAGTACGATGCTTGAAGGAACTGAAAGCAATGTGAGGTTTATAGCTCATACTGTTAGGTAAATTTAACACAGTGTTAGGTAAATCTAACACAATGTTAGGTAAATATAACAAACTGTTAGGTAAAAATAACACAGTGTTGGGTAAATGTAATACACTATTAGAAAATATAACAAACTTTTGTTAAAAATAATTTATTAGTTTGGTGTCGAGGCCATCTTTAAAGGGACAGTAATCTTAATTTCAAGTGAACTTCCACCATGCAAACAAGGCCACGTAAGATTCACAATGGTATCATTTAAACCCTTTTCCTGGTCAAAGATGATGTATAATGTATATTCTTAATCAGGCATTTGGCTTTCTCTGCATATTGAGAGGTCACTTGAAATTACACTTTCCCTCCGCTTTAAGCTGTAAGATTTAGACTTATAACAGATGTTTTCCTTAATCAGGAAATTTGGATAGTTTTAACTGTTTTCTTTATTTAAACGAAGTGTTCACAAAAAATGAAAGGAACTAACAGCGAAAAAAAATCGCTTTTGATCGCTACTAATCTTACTATCATTTGCGCCTATCAGGAGAAAATTGTTAAAAACGACTTATACGACTTATACTGAAGAACGTAGCGTCCATACAAATTCAGAAAGTTGCAATATTCAACTCAGATTGCAGCAAACAAATCAATTTTATTTCAAACAAATCATTCAGATATTACGATCTATAGTCATTGATTATTTTCGACGCATTTATAAATAGTTAATATTTCATAATATTTTTTATTCGTTTTGTATACTATGCACTTAAAACACCGAAATAGTTGGCCACCAGATGTCTCTGCTCTCGATGCATTGAATGATTACACGTGGAAGAGTCACCTATCGGAAAAAGGCGTTTTAAGTGCACTGTATATAAAACAAATAACAAATATTATGAAATATTAATTATATATGAATGCGTCGAAAAATAATCGATGACTATAGGTTATAATATCTGAATGATTTGTTTAAAATTAAATCGATTATTTTTTGATACGGGTCTAATATTGCATCTTTCTGAATTTGTATGGACGCTACGTTCTTCGGTATGAGTCGTTTTACCAATTTTCTCCTTATAGACGCAACAGATATATATAGAAGTAAGATTGGTAGCGATCGAAAGCGATTATTTTTATTCCTAAGCCTATACTCCCTTTTATTTTTCGCGAACACTCCCTTTAATTGGACAATCCCAACATAGTTACATTTATTATTAAATATTTAAGAAAATTGGTGTAAAAACGGAAATGTCACTTTTTTATTGTGTTTCTTCACATGTTTGACAAAATTAAACATTTAGTTAATTTTAGTGATGAGAAAATTAAACTTTATCCATGGAACCAAGCACCCAATAATGAAGGTAAGAAAAATACTAAAAATGTCCGTTAAAAGGACTGCATAGACGCAATTTATAAAATGGTATTCGTGATTCAAAATGGCGCCCTCTTCCTCAGACGTATGTTTCAAGATACCCTCCATTTATAAAAGGGCGTTTACAAGTAACGATTTAAATGGTGTCTTTAAAACCTCTTTATAAGTGACAATGATTAGAAGATATCGTCGTATAATAACATCTAAATAGAGTTTTGAATTATAATAATTTCCTCATGGCTCTGAAACGTCACTTTAACAGATAAATCCCAAATAAAAATGTTCAATTTATTCTTAATTTTATAATGGTATAAAGGCTTGAAATAACACTTTACAGTCCCTTTATACAGGACAAAAATTGTTGTTTTTTTTTTACTAAAAATCAATAAAAATTTGTTGTTAGGTGGGATTTCATTTTTATCAGAGGCAGACTCCCAAACCAAACCGGTAACTAGATCATTTTAAAGGGAGTGTTCGCTAAAAATAGGAGTAAACTTTTTCACAGAATTCTTGTAATCCAGATACACTATGTTTGAGTAATGCATTCAAATAGTACTATAGTGATTGTTACTCATTTTGGAGAACAACAATACGGCCGCAAGATGTCTCCCATTATAATTTTCAGCTAATTGGGGGATTTCGTAGATTCGTCAGCTGTAATCAACGGATGTTTACATTTTATCATTTCTCAAAGATCAGATAAAAAAAACGATTGATACATTTCGATTCCAAATTTGAAGCGGGTTTAGCCTCCTGTATTTTTTGCTAACACTCCCTAACACCTTTTTGATAAATAAACTGTATATCATTATTGCTCAAAAAATTTAAGTTCATTAAGTTTTATTTCTAATTAATAATTAATAATAAAATCTTAAAGCAAAATATTGAAAATTCAAATAATTAATTAATTTACTACATTCATACAATTTGAATAGCAAACATTCAAATATTTGTTTTACTTTTCATCAAATATAATATGTAAATAAATTTGTAATGAACCATATTCCATTACTATATGATAAAGTAATGTATGTATCTATGTGCCAAGGTTATAATGCAAGGGAATGTGTATCCGATTTGTATCATTTTTGTAATATTTGTGTAAAAGTCCCATACGACTATTGTTTGATTTATAGGAAAATGACCAAAGAACAAAATTATCTAATTTATCTAATATTGCAAATGAAATCTATGTTGATAAACTGTCCTTGAACAAGTCTCTTATAGTAAATCAAACATGATTTACGCGAATCCGGCTGAAAATGCGTGGAGAATTCCACTGTTTAAAGATTTACTATCAAAATCAAAATGTTTAGACGGATTTAATTATGATTAAATAGCTGAACTTATTGACGATATGTAATATACAACTAAGTTTTTTATTGTTTTGGACTTTACATTAATTATATATTCATATGTTAAATATCTCATTCCTCGTTGTATACTGTATAATTGTGCACTAATAAATAGAATAAAAAAATAAATAAAAATATATGAATTTTCATACTTTTTTCCTAACTATCTTTTACTGCTCTAGGGCTACCTTTTGTTCATTATAAATGGGCTAATTTAAATTCGTCAAAAGCTGGTAAAACTGGTTAAAAGGGGTGAATATTAGGCTTTCCAACACAAGGGGATTTTACTTCCGCGCAACGGAATTCCGATTGGAAACCCTAGTGCATATATATATGCATGGTGTATTTGAATTCGAAGCTGAAGGAAGAACATATTTTTACCAATTCGAAATTGCAATTTCTAGAAGCATGAAATTGGCGAAGGGGTGGATTCTATCAGATTTAATGAAATTCTTGAAATCCTGGAAACAGATACTGCTATTCTCAAAATAGATATAGAGGGCGCTGAATGTAAGGTAAATTTAAAAAGAGGGCGTTGATTGTTTCGTAAATTAAATAAAGAGCGATGAATCTATAGAATTTTAATTAAATAGAGGGTGCTGAATGTAATGTAAAATTTAATATAGATGGCGCTGAATGTAAGGTAAGTAAAATAGAGGGCGCTGATTGTAAGGTAAATTGATAAACAGGGCGCTAATTGTAGGGTAAAATAAATAGAGGGCGCTGATTGTAAGGTAAATTGATAAACAGGGCGCTAATTGTAGGGTAAAATAAATAGAGGGCGCTGATTGTAAGGTAAAATAAATAGAGGGCGCTGAATATAAGGTAAATCCAAAAAAAGGGCGTAATTAGATAAAGAAATAGAGGGCGCTGAACGCTAGGGACATAGTTGAACTTGAAAACATCTTAACATTACTTGATAAGTAATTATCCTGCCTCAATCTTAAAATATCCCACCTCTTAATCTCAATATAGTCCGCCTCAATCTAAAAATATCCCGCCTCAATCATAACATTTTCTCCTCTTAATTTCAAATATCCCGCCTCTTAATCTCAAAATACCCCGCCTCTTAATCTCAAAATATCCAGCCTAATCGCAAAATATTCTGCCTCAATCTCAAAATATCAAACCTCAATCTTAAATACCCTCAATCTCAAAACACCCTCTATCTCAAAATATCCCCCTTAATTTCCAATTATCAAAATCTCACCAAAATCTTAAAATTTCCTTCCAAAATCTCAAAACTTCCGGCCTCAACCCATGATCAAGTAAATACATATTTATATTCTTCAGGCTCTGCTATCCTTCCTCCAGAGCGAGACTAAGGAAATAAAACAAATGAAAATATGTAAAAATTTTTTTTTTGAAAACTAGTAATGGCGATGAAATGGTGGGGGGGGGGGAGAAGATGAAGTTTCTAAAAGTTTTAAAGTAATGTTGAATGGCGTGCCTTTGGCCTGTGTACACATTTTTGTATTTAACTAAAACCTTGAAAATATGTGTGTTAAAATTGAAAAAAAAAATGTCTTCCGTTATCTGTGTAAGATTGATAGAATTAAGGATTATTTAACCAATAGAGCCACAATTAATTCATAGAGCCATAAATAATTCATAGTGGGACCGGGGGGGGGGGAGTATAATTTAGTGAAATCTTTGTTTTACTCAGTTGAAGCATATACCTTATATATTAATGGAGTGGGTTGGAATCAGAAGAAACGTGAACGGAATGTGCCCAAATCTTGAGGAAATTATAAAGGTAGGTAGGTATATGGTAGGTGGGTAGGTAGGTAGATAGGTAGGTAGGCAGATAGGAAGGTGGGTATGTAGACAGATAGGTAGATAGGTAGGAAGGTTTGTATGTGGATAGATAGATAGGTAGGTCAAAGGTAGGTTGGTAGGTAGATTTGTAGGTAGGTAGGTATATGTAGGAAGGAAGGTAGGTAGGTAGGTAGGTGGATAGGTAGGTAGGTAGATAGGTAGGTAGGTGGATATGTAGGTAAGTAAGTTGGTAGATAGGTAGGTGGGAAGGAAGGTGTCTATGTAGATCGATAGGTAGGTGGCAGTAAGGGAGGCGCTAGGTAAGTAGGTGGGCAATGCAGGGCAATGTTAGACACGGGGCTACCAAAAAGAATAAGACTTTAATGACTACCTGAAACCCTTAAAATACACCATCAGTGCTTTGGTCAATAGATTTATGGTCAAGTCTATTTTAGCAAGCTTTTATATAACAGTGAAACAATTGAAATATCTACAGCAGCATGAAAAGTTTTATTTAGATAGATAGATAAATGGACGGGGGGGGGGTGAGATAGTTATTGTTATAAATTTTTAACTTTTATATTAATCCGTTTGAATTTAACTCTTGTCCAAGGGATTTACAGCTAGTGGATACCAACCTGCAAACATGAATCTACAGAAATTGGGGTAAGACTTTTTATAAAGCTTAATGCTAGGAATTGAGTTTTTCTAATCCGTATATCGTTGATACTTAAAAATCAGAGTTTGTGGAAGAAACTCAACTTCTTTGAGATAAACTTAAGAGCTAGGACCAAATTTAGTAAAAAGCGAGCAGTATGAACGTAGACTAACTTAAACCATTTTTATTCAGTTACTCTCAGCTAGTTTTCGCTAATAAATAAGCTTGGACAATGAAGCTGGCTACAATTTATTAATTATTAATTAAATCACTTTTTTACTGAACGAACGAATTTTGTAAGAAACTTTATGATACCAATTGTTTTTTACTGAACGAACCTTTTTTTAAACAAATTTTTCTGAGCGAAAGATTTTATTGAATGAAAAATTTTACCGAACGAACGAGTTTAATGAAGGAACAATTCTACTGAACGATTGTTCAGTGAGAAAACAGACGAAATAAACAATAATTTTGAAAACAACCGAAATCAATTTGTTTTTAACGATTGAAACCAAAACGAACGAAATGGGTTGTTCACAAACGATGAACGAATGAAATGAAAAAAGTGGACCGTGCCCATCTCTAGATTTAGTCGTACCTCAAATTTCTGTTTCCTCTAGATTAGAAACCGAGGCTACTTGGAACGATGTCCTGTGGGTTCACCAAGATGCTAAATAGAATCAACCAGAGCTGGGAACTGTTGTGTTGGATCGCTTGATCTCGATATCCACTGTGGGCACATTTAATTGGGAGATCAACGCCTAATCTCTTCAGAAATATTCTATCAATTTTGTGCAGTAGTTAATCTGTACAAAAAAAAGGTTAAAAAGTAAAAAGCTCTCTCTATAACTAATAACTGTGCAACAATACCTAAACTTTTAAAGCACACAGGGCTCCTGATAAATAAATGTGTCCTTTCTTAAAACTTTTATTTTCTAAATAATTTATCTCTGTTACGCTTTAAGTTATTTAAAAAAATACTTTATTATTTAACTCTAATTACAATTATATTAAAATATCAATTATATTTTAATTGGCTAAACTCAAATTTTTGCAGACGCAAAATTTATGCATATTTAAAACTCAATTTTAAACTTAACTTCTCTACTGGGAAATGAACTAACTTTATTAATTTTCATTTTCAATTGTACAACACATATTAAGTACAGAAATCAACAGTTTTAGTACTGTATGTACATGTTTGAAACTATTTAAATCTGAAACTCATATTGTGATTTTTTTTTTTAATAAAATATGCTGAATTGTTAAGCTTAACTAAACGCTCAACAGTTGTACCAAACTTTTTATGAAACTATTGTGTACTTTATCATTCATGGTCACTTCATGGTAAATTTCATTACGACATGATAAAAAGTAATTATTGGGCTATAACGGTAAATTTCTTTACGATTTTATTGGTTCCCAGATTTTCTACAATCAAATAATGTTTTGTTCAGCAGAATAATTTTTTCGAAAAAAAAATTTGAAATCAATTTTTTTTCATTTGTGCTTTGTTGCCAAGCTTATCATATCAAGAAATAACCATTGCATAGAGACAAGTACACAAACATTTCATAAAATTAACTATAAAACTATTATTTTTGCACGACGTGTAAGAAAGTTTTTCAGACATAAATGTTCTCTGCGTCTCGAAGATTTCGAATTTCGAGTCTTCAAACTTTCGATCACACACAATCCTAAATATAATTTATTTAAATATTAATAATTATTAATAATTAATTAATGTATTTATTATTTTAACACTACATGTGTTTTGTGATTGCCACTGATATCGCTTAAAAACCCTGTGAAAAATATATATATATATATATATATACGTGATGTCCCACAAAAAATTTGGGCCCGATCGGTTCAGCCGTTTTGACGTTTCTTGGATATCGATACAAACAAATAAACAGACAGACAAGCCAAATTTGATTTGTATTCGTAGTTAAAAGTTGAAGCCTTTGACTTAAATGAATAAATCCACTTAGAGTAAGAAAAAATGTATTTACTGCAGAAAAAAAACTAAATATCTGATACGACACTTATCCAGAACGTGATTTTTTTAAAAATCCGCAAAATTTTTTTCTTCTTTGTTTTAAAATGTTAACAAAAAGAACATGTTCACAATTTAAATAGAAGATGGGCGCGGAGTGCCCTAAAAGCCTAGTATTAATAAAATTTCAACAAATTTATTTTCATTGATTTATTTAATTTGAAATTTAAAAGTTTATTACAATTCAGTCGCAGAATATTTTAATCATAAGGTAAACATACAGCGTTACCCAAAAAAGATGAGACTGTAAAGACCACCCAAAACTAACTATGACAATATGAAACTTGATTTTTGGTTTCTGCTTTCAATTCGGTATTTTTAAGGTTTATTAAATGATTAAGATCAGAAATAAGCCAGTTTTGTCCTATACAAGAAATCTTGAATGCAAGAAACGTACTAAACAATCTACGGAAAGTCGTCTCTGAAGTCTCATCCTTTTGGGGGTATATATATATATATATATATATATATATATATATATTTATTAAAAAATAATAATACTAAACATAATGTTTCACGTCTATCATGACGATCCTCAGCAGTTACAATTCTTTGAATATATATATATATTAAATATCTTTTAAAGTTTAAAGGAATAGAGGTTTGAATTTTTGTGTAAAGTCTTGTTAATCTTGAACACTTGATATCAATATCCAATTTGAGCATTTTTAATTTGCGAATAAATTCTTGATCTTTATATCTTGGTTGTATCCCTTCAATTGTTCTTCACAATTTAGGGAATTTGTGAAATTTAGAAAAACAGAAATAAAACCTTTAATCTCAATTAAAATGGACTTTTTAATACGAAATGTTAATGTATCATTATAAACTATTTTATTATGTTGAGATTTTTGAAAAAAAAATTGTGGTGGATGTAAAATGCGGGGCATGGAGACAGACTGGTGGAGGCTCGGAGACGTAGCGAGAGGCACCAAGACGATTTCGCGGAGTCTGGAGGTCATTTTGCAAATCTGGAGGCTCAGAGGTCATTTTTGTGGGGCTGATGAACTTTTGTTTAAACTCTATCTTTGCCGTCTGATATCCAAGAAGAGAACAAATATTTTGCTGCAACAAAGGTTGACATTATCAAGTTGCAAAGGTGTTGGAATCAGAAAATTAGAGTTTGAGACTAATTAATTTAAATTACTATTTAAATATCACGGCAGGGTAATTCATTAGAGGCTCAGTATGAGACCAGTTTAATGTTTCTTTGTCGTTTGTAAATTTACAACCTAGTTGTAAATTGTCATATATAAGTAAGTTGTAATTTGTATATAATTCATTGGAAATGTAGACGTTTATGGATAAAAATATACAAGTAAATGAATGATTTGTAAATTGTAAATGCCTAAGCGTTCAAATATCCTTTTTTTAAAGGCTTTTCAAAGTGTAATTTTTAGACATTTTTATAGCTTAAATAACATAAATAGTTTACTTTAGATTTTTTACACGGACCAACCTTTTGCTGGCCTGTACCCTACCCTTTGCATTAGAAAAATAATGCAACGCCCCCCCCCTCTCCCCCCGACTTCTTAGTTTACTAGGTTTCCAAGTTTACTACGATGTTGTCTTTTTGCGATAGTACGAGTACATAGTCATGAACATTATTTGTTGATTTCATTTATTATTCAGTGTTTTGCAATAAAGGTAGACATATATGGTTTATTTAATCTATAATTTTTACCTTACTACATTACTTATACTTTTTTTGTAGCCAGCTAACTAACTAAAATGATTTTAGACCTAGAAAGCACTAAATTTTAACTTTAATTCTCAAGATGTAATTGGCAAGATTCTCATCAATTTTTGAGTGAGAGCTAGCTTATAACCTTTGTAATAAATATAATATCTCTATCTTTACACATTTATCTTGCAATTAATGTTATCAATTGGATCCTTGATCAAATAAATATTTTCCTAAGGCAAATTTTTTCTTCAAATATTTTGTTAAAATGGTTGAAAATGAAAAATAATAAGTTTTTAAGCAAATAAAATAAAAAATATGAGTTGGTATACTCCCCTGTATTCCTAGCATGGGAATATTAGTCCCTTGGGATATAAATTGTCTATTAGTTCGACCTAAATATATTCTCTTTATAGACGAGGAAAGGGTTTTAG